AAAGGAAGAAGAGGAGGAGGGAGAGGGGCGGGAATACAAGCTAGGTGCGCTCGCGTCATACCTGACGTCCTACTCCTCCCTCCCATCCCTTACCATGGCGCTGATTTTCTCTATCCGCGGACGCGTGTCGTAGCGGACCTTTGGCTCCGCGCGCGCGTGCGTAGTGGGTGGTGGTGCGCGTGCGTGCGTGCGTGCGTGTGTGCGTGGTTGTGGTGTGTGGTTGTGGTTGTGGAGTGGTGGTGGTGGTGGTGGTGGTGGTGGTGGTGGTGGTGGTGGTGGTGGTGGTGCGGCGCGGTGGTGGCGGGCGGATGGGCGCGCGAGAAAGAGGCCCGCGCTGGGGCGAGAACGCCATCCTGAACGACGGAGGCCAAACACTGATCCGAAAATGAGGCCCACGCTGCAGCGGGAGCACGATTCGGAACGATTCGGGAGCAGAAATGAGGCCGGCGCCTCAGCGAGAGCAGCATTTTGAAAACAAACGCAAGCGAAAACCCAACTCCCCGGAATCCTGTGTAAAAAAAACAGTACGCGGGGGGGGGGGTCGGCCACTCCCAGCACGCCATCAGGGGAAGAGGGAGAGTAGTATTCATATTGAGTAATTGTAAATGGAGGCGAAAGGGAGGGCGATGGCTCCGGGAGCTGGGCGGCCAAAGGGGGGAAGGGGGGGGGGCTTCACGCCCCCCTCCTCCCCTTTTGCACCAAGGGAGAGAGGGGGGGGAGCTTCCAAAGCCCCCCCCCCCTTCAAAGGGGGGGGGGGGGGCTCACCCCAGCTCCATGAAAAGGAGGAAGGGGGGGGTAGCTTGGAAGCCCCCCCCCTTTCCGGCCACGAAAAGGGAGGGGGGGGTAGCTTCCGAAGCCCCCCCCCCCTTTCAAAGGGAAAGGTGGCTCACCCAGGCTCAAAGAAAGGGAGGGAGGGGGGGGTAGCTTGATAGCCCCCCCCCCTTTCCGAACCACGAAAAGGGGGGGAGGGGGGGGGGGCTTCCGAAGCTCCCCGCCCCTTTAGCAAGGAAGGGGGGAGGGGGGTAGCTTCAAGCTGGGGCCCCCCTTTTAGTCTATCGGGCCCCACGCGCGCGCTCTATCTTATGTATTATTAGCCCTCCTGGAGGGTCAATGTCACTGTTCCATCCTCCTCTTCCTCCTCCTCCTACTCCTCTAAGGCGTCGCGGAGACAAGCGACTGGAAGGCAGACGACCGTGTCGACGAGAGTTGCTCGGTGGACTGAGCTCGGGGGTCTCGTGACGCCCGCCTTCCAGAAGGCCGCCCGTTGTGCTGCTGCTACGGCTGTCCTTTCCTCCCCTCCTCGGCCGAGCCCCCTTCCTCGCTCGTCCTCGTCTTCAGCTCTGAGCATCGGAGATATGGTCGCTTATGCGGCAAGAGAGCCCAGAATCAAATCGATAAGTCGGATCGGCAATCGAAATAGATCGTATCGGAGGAAAGCGGCAGCCGAGTCGGGAAACATCGGATCGGCGGCAATCGGCAGGCCAGCATGCCTCCATTCAGACATCGGAGTCCAGATCGGAATCCGAGGTCGACTCGAATCGGGACCGGCAGCCATCGAAGCCGAATCGCATCGGCTCGGAGGAATCGAAGCGAGCCCTGTGCTGGTCCGCGGACGAGGGCTTGTCCCACGTCTTCGGGCTCCTGGGGGCCTGCCCTGCGCGCAGATGCCGAGGGCTCGCTCGCCGTGGGCCGCGGTCGATCAGGGACACTTTCGGGCTTCCCCCCCCGAAGGGGGAGGGGGCCGCCGCTCGCCCGCGCACCTCGCGCACGATGGGTCACGCGGGGCGCTCCTCTGCTCAAGTGTAACGCTGTGTGGTCGCGGCGGCAGACGAAACTTTTGGCCCGATATCGCTCCGCCGCCGCCGCCGCCTCCTGCTGCTGCTCAGGTCGGACGGATCCGAAGTATGCAGCTCATCAGCCGCCTCCTACTTCGCCTCCTCCTCCTCGCGATCCAGCGCGCACGTAAGCGCAGGTGCGGGGGCTCTGAGCAGCACAACGACTACGACGACGACGACCACGACGACGACCACGACTACGACTACGACGACGACGACGACGACGACGTCGACAACCACGACCACGACCACGACCACGACCACGACGACGACGACGACGACGACGACGACGACCGCGAAGACGGCGGCGGCGCAGGCGACGTCGCCAGCCCCTCCCCCTCCGCCCCTCCCCCTCCCCCGAAAGAAGGCGCCGCCTCGCCCTCCGCCGCCTCCAGCTCAGCCATGCGGCGAGTCGCGTCCTCTATCTTGGCCAGCGCGTCCTCTACTGCATCGCCGTCGACGTCGCCGTCGCCGCCGTCGCCGCCGTCGTCGCCGCAGTCGCTGCCGCCGCTGGCGTCGTAGTCGGCGTCGTCATCTGCGTCGTCGCCGTCATAGTCGGCGTCTTCGACGCGGCCGCCAACGCCGCCGTCGGCGTCGTGTTGGGCTGCGCGTTCCTCTCCTGCGGCAATGGAGCCTGCTGGCACTTTGCACTCAAGACCAGCCTGCTCTTGCGAAGACGCCAGCTACACGAGGAGACAGGGTCAATCAACATCGGATCGGGAACACGGATCGGATCGGCATCGAATCGAGCCGCATCAACATTGAATTGGGAACAATCGGATCGGCAACGCCAAGATGCACACCGACGCCGGGAAACATCGTGCCGCATCCGATCATTGGAATGTCGGCATCGAATCGGATTGGGCTGCCCAAAAACGATATCGAATCGGATCAACGATCGGAATAGTCCCTGGGGATGGTGAAATAGCGAAGAATTATGCATGCGGCCATGTTGGGCCTCCTGAAGGTCCTCGTCGCCACGGCTGGATCAGATCCGTATCCAATCCGGCTCGACGCCGGAATAGACTTGTTTCTCCTCGTCCCCCTCTAGCTGATATGCCTCCTCCTTCTCTCCTGCCCTCCACCTCCTCCTTCTCCTCCACCTCCCTCCTTCCCCTCATGTCCTACCCCTGTCTCCCTATCATCCCGCCTTCCTCCTTCTACCTCCTCCATAGCCCTCCGTCCCTCCTCCCTCACCCCTCCTTCTCCATACCTCTCCTGTTCCTCCTCCCTCCTCCACTTCCTCCCTCTCGCTGTGCCTCCCTTTCGTCCCTTCTAGTCTCGTCTGCTTCAACCGGCGGTCAAGCTAATGCCTCGAACCCAGCAGACGCAACACACACTGCTCACTATCGCTGCCACTGCCGCCGCGCGACTTCTTGGACCTCTCCATTCCCTGCTCGCTCTCATCTCCGTCATCTCGCCATCGCTCGATGTCCATTCCCAATGCGTTTTTAGGTTTCGTGCGTGCCTTTCCTCGCCAGGTGGGCACAAATGCTCCTCGACGGTCCTTGCCAGGAAAAAATGCGCACGTCCGAGCGATGCGAAATCATCCCGCTTTCTTCCAGGACGCATTAACCAGGGTCAGCGCAACCCGGATCGTCCAAGGCCACGTCCACGAAGTAGCACCCCGTAAGCTAGCCCCCCCGGCCTTCCAATTGAGCAGGGACCGGCTGTCCCAGCAGTTCTATAGGCCTACCACGAAACGTTCTTAGAACTCAGAAACTACCGAAGAACATTATCAATATTCTAAGCCCGATGTGTTAAAACAAGACAGCCGCAGCCAGAAATGTTCTAAGAACATTTCGTGGAATCCACAAAACGTTCTTACAATATTCTTTGGTTGGCCAATAGGCACGCCAAGACGCTTCGCCACTGCTTGATCCAACCCTCGGTCCCGGCTGGCCGGCCCCCGCGAGGGGGGTCCTCCAGGCGAGTCCGCGCGGACTTCCACGACTCGTCCCCCTGCGAGGTCCACCTCTTGATCTGGGCGCCTGGGGCGCTGCGGTCGGGACTCAGCGTAGAGGACCTGTTCCGCCACTGCGGAGCGAACCTTCCCCGTCGCCGCTGTTGAGATCAGCCTCGACTTACTAGGGAGCGACACAAGAAGAGAAAGAGAAGGAGCGAGCGCCACAGGTAACTAGACGACGACGGCTGCAGAGCGCTCCCGAGAGGACGCAAGTCTCTTCCGCAGCCGGTGCTCGAGGAGGAGGGCACTGGGCGCGATGGACAGGGCACATCAAGTGGCACGCGTGCCATGGCTCTTGCACAAAAGGGAGGGGGAGGGAGGAGGAGGAGGAGGAGGAGGAGGAGGAGGAGGAGGAGCAGGGACCCCCGCGCATCGAAATCGAGACATCGGAGGCCTGGGGCCGGCGAAGGGAGAGAGCGCATGGTCTGAAGATTCCAGACGAGAGAAGATCTGACGTGGAGATGCTCGAGCACATTCGGCCGCTCGAAGCGCCTTCGGGGCCGGTGGAGGTCCGACGAGGACCGGCAGGCCTCTGGGCACCTTGAGCGACGGCGGGCGAGGCGCCATCATTACGCCAAGACGGGCTGAGAGGGCCCCGGGCCGGCAGAATAGGGCCCCAAGACGACCGAAGAGGGCCCCAAGCAAGGCACCAAGGCACGCCACCCTTGCCCAAGGCAGCCTCAAGACAGTCCAAACAATCCCAACGAGATCACACCAAGGAAGGCTGACAAACATGTATCGCATGTGACTGCCGTCTGGTCGGTGCTCGACTGGTCGGCACACTGAATGATTCGCTGGCACAGTGGCGGGTTTGCCGCAGGCACCTGAATACTTACCAAGGCCAATGCATACGTTACATCAACTTCCTGGCAACCGCAGCCCCTGAGATCCCACGTTGCGGTTGAAAAATATAGCGCCTCGAAAAATCACGACCAGAGCACCTAACCCCCATCTCTCTGCGAATTTGTTTCAAGCTGGATCGACCTGTGAGGGTTCTGGGGCCCGAAACCAAGGAACAACCAACCAGCCTCGAACGAATCCCTATCGCTGAGATCGACGAGCCAAAAGGCGATGGCAATCGTAGAGATGCGCACTCAGAAACTGAGGAAACCTCCAAGATCGGCACAGGGATCGGGATATGCTTCAGGCTGGAAAGAACAAAACAAACAAAAAAAACGCCCGTTGTGAAACAACATGCAGCGCCAGGATCCCAGGGACATCGTCGTGTTTCGGCGGCGAGCGAGGGTGGGGAAGTGAGCAGGAGAAGGCCGTCTCAGAAGGCGGCGGAGCTTCTCAGAAACCCTCGGACCTCCTGAGAAGATTTCCGTGTCTTCGGAGAAGGCTTAAACCTTCTCAGAAGACCAGGGACCTTCCGAGCCTTCTGAGAAGGCTCCCCCCCGGCTCGCCGGAACTCTCTGGCCGGACGGACTCCCCGACGCGCCGGCCTGCCCGAGGGGGCCCCCGAGACCGGCCCCCGACAGGGCGCAGAGGAGGAGGAGGAGAAGCAGGAGAGGGAGAAACATGAGGAGGAAAGGAGGATGAGGATGATCCGCGTTCGCTCAGAATCGGTGCATGGACCATGGACCCTGGACCAGTCACATCTTCGAGCCGCGCCTGGCCGTGGCCACGACGAAGGCCGAGCAGATGCCAGCAGCTTCCAAATCTACCTCCTTATTCTTCTGCCTCCACCTCGTCCTCGCAATCTCTGGATGGAGGTGTCTGGGGAGGCCCATGGAAATTCAAAAAGGACAAACAACGTGCAAGAAACCTCGACCATCCTTCTCCGCCTCATCCTACTCCCAAGAAGATAACGACTACAAGTAACGCTATTCCCCTGACACCTTACGATGTGTGTTCTGACTGGGGTTCCGAGGCGGGTCTAGCTCTGCGAGGGGGGCCACCCAGGAGGCCCCCAAAGGCGGAAGTGAGGGAAAGGGTATCGGCATCGGTACGTCCTCCTCCCGCTCCTCTGATGGTTTTTGTTCGCAACGTGTAGCCCTGGAGGTCGGGACCCGTTCCCCTGGACCGTCTTTTCGTCTCGAGTTCTGCTTTGACGGTGCTGGAGCCGTCCGAGGTCCTCCGGAGGCCGAAGATTCTGTAACACCCTCCCGTCGCCGAGGTCGACGCCGACGGCGGCGGCGCGACAAGGAAGACGACGAGGACGCCGACGAGTAAGCCGACGAGAACGACGACGATGACGAACGAGGACGAGGACAACGCCGACGCTGGCGCCGACGACAAAGACGGCGACGACGACGACGACGCCGACACGGACGCCAACGTCTCGCCGACGACGACGCCGACGCCGACGCCGACGCCGACGCCCACGCCGACGCCGACGCCGACGCCGACACCGACACCGCCGATGCCGCCGCGACAGCGACACCGCCGACGCCGCCGCCGACGCCGACACCGCCGACGACGCCGACGCGGACGCCGACGCCGACGCCGACACCGACACCGCCGATGCCGCCGCGACACCGACGCCGCCGACGATGCCGACGCCGACTCCAACGACGACGCTGACGACGTCCACGACGTGGACGACGACGACGACGACGACGCCGACACCGCCGACGCCGACGCCGCCGACGATGCCGACGCCGACTCCAACGACGACGACGACGACGACCCCGACGACGACGGTGACGTCCACGACGTTGACGACGACGGCGGCGAGGGCCCGAGCGCCGCGGGGCGGGGCGCGGCGGCGCCGTGCTTCTGCAGCGCCGCGTGGGCCTTGCGCAGAGCCTCCCGGTGGGCCTCCACGGGGGGGGGGGCGCCGAGCGCGCCGGCCTCGGGTGGGCCCTCGCGGGACCTCTTCGGAGGGCACTCGGTGGGCCCGCGGTGGGCCCTCGTTGAGCCCTCTGTGGGCCCGCGGAGGGCCTGGGAAGGCTTCCGAGGGCTTCGTAGGGTACCGCGGAGCCCTCAGGGCGGCCTCGAGAATCTCCGAGGGCCCATCGTGGGCCCTCCGATGGCTTCACCATGGGGCCCACCAGTCCCATCGATGCGTTCCGCGCAGGACACGCGCGAAAGAATGCCCGCATCCGCGGGGTCACGGCCAGGGGCTGCGCCCGCGAGGCCGTCGAACGATTCAGGACACCGATCCTGGGCCCTCGGTGGGCCCCGGCCCAGTGCGCACGCTTCCCTGGCCGAGCCCAGAGGAGCGTGTGCAGCGATCCTGGGCCCACGACTGCGAGGTGGTCCCCTGGCGTCGCCCGACCTCTGCCGCGGGGGCCCGCAGGGGTGGGGTCCGCGCGCGGGCGCAGGGGAGGAGTGGAGGGCGTGGAGCCCGCCGACGGCCTCCGAAATCCTCCGACCTGTAATCACGAGCCAGCACGAGGACATCCAGCTGCCAGGAGACCGCGCCAGCCGACACGTGGACATGGTTCGCTGAAGCGCTGCCAACTGAATTGCCTCATAATGATCTTTCTTATGTAATCTAGCCCCGGCCCAGATCCTAGCTGGGATGACCAAAGAGAGACATACTAGTACCAGATCATGTCCTCCTTGGATGCGCGTGTCCGACCCGAACATGCAGTATACCCATCTTGCAGTCTGTCGTTCCCCGAGCGACGTGGCCAGAAGACACCCGCCACGACGCATATACTACAAGACTTCTCGGTACGCGCGTCGCCTCCTCCTCCTCCGCCCCCTCCTCCTCCTCCTCCTCCTCCTCCTCCTCCTCCTCCTCCTCCT